CCCCCCCCCCGCCACTAGCTCTGGAGTTTTCTTAGATATCCTGGAACCAAGACAAACCATGCCTGCTGTGCTGTGTCTGAACTTTTCACCCAGAATCTGTGAGCATCATAAAGATGCTGCCTTAGTTACCACTGGTTAGAATTTGTTATGCAGCAGTAGCAGCCAGAACTCTTGCCATTGGTCTGTAGAGAGCCCAGCTCATTCAGTGACCATTTATGTTGAAGAGAGGACTGTTCAAAATAAGGGACAGAACAGATTTTGCTATTCTTGATTACATACAGTACCTATCAGGTTTTGAACACTACCGTTGTGCCTGGCAACCATGCTTAGGTGAAGAACCTGGACTATTTCAAATAAATGTGGGTTCAAATTCCTGCTCCATTGCTTTTAAGATGTGATTTTAGGCAAAAAGCCTGTCTACAATTCTGGTCTATAAAATCAGGGAAATTTACCCATATTATAGAATAGCTTCTAAGTTGAGTGATATTGACTTTCAACAAGTGGTAGCTTACTATATTATAACACAAGAATAATATGGTTTTTATAAGGAAGAGGCGAGGGATGAAATCATAATGGAAGGGGAAAGTGAGACTTCAGAATCTCAAATATTGGGCAAAGAAATTTGGAATTTTGAAGAACTTTGAAAAATGTAAATAAACATATTTTTGGTTATCAATATAATCTTTTAGTTTTATGTTAGAGTGGTAATCTATCAAATTGTATTTGACTCATGATATTGATTAGTTTAATGAAAAAATGTATAGCTAAGAAATATTTAAGTATACAACAAAATGCAGAAGAAAAATAATGTATTGATCACTGAGAATTTCCCTTATTCCCCCAGAGGCTAATATCAAGTCCCTTTTTTGTTTAGTAAATGAAGTTAGTAGCATTGTAAAGAGTGAATTAAAAAGTGGAATAGCTACCCAGAGGGAAGCCACTTGGGGTAATTAACTTCCGGCATTCCTGGGGTGTATCAAGATGAGGACTCTAGGGCAGATGGGAGGCTTTCTGGGTGTGTGTGAGGGACAATTTTAACCAAGAGCTGATGGGCTCTGGCCTTCTGGGAAACTCGCCGCCCAATTCCCCTTGCCAACCCCCAACATTCTGTCATTAAGCATTTCTCCTTTTGCTTGAGCTAAAAATAAAATTAACAAAGTGTGACTACTAAGCAAGTTATGCTCAGATGTGTGAGCAATTTTGTCAGAAATATAAATTCTACATATTGCAGTAAAGGAAACATGGAATGTTTGCCAAGTTCTCGTGAGAAATCTTCATCTAAAAATTGTGCCAGCTCGCTAAATATAGAGTTGCTATGAAGAACAGAACTGGCCCACCTGTTAAACCCACCTCACATGAGATAAAGGGACTATGCTGGATTTTATGCTATCAACTGCTTCTACCCCAAGGGAATTAAGAATGGGATTAGGGTGCCTTTCTTTTCTGGAGCTGCTGTCTCTCGGGGTCTGTAGCTGCCCTTCCACAAGAAGGCTCTGGGTGATGGTCATATGGCCATCCACACATGAGAAAAGAAGTTTCATAAGCAAATGGCTTACTATCTAGGTTGTTTAATATTTTTTGGACTAAAGAATTAGAGTGGCAGTAGAGGTACTCTTTGACTGCATTCGTAGCATTCCAAGACTTCTGTAACATTGCTTATTTCTCAAGAAAATTAGGCTTGGTTCTAAGGATGTAGTCACCCCTAATATAAGAAGGCATATAACAATTTTTGTAATTGACTGACCATAAAGAAGTCTAAATGTCTTGAAGTATAACACCAATAACAGGAAGAGAGAACCGATGTGAGAAGCGATGTGTGTGCTTTTTGGACGTCACAGAGATAGATAGTCACATCACTGTTTGGGAAGATGAGCTGTGTTCCTAAGTAAGTCTGAACCTATACACTGCACTGGATGAGAGAGAGAGAGAGTGAGAGAGAGAGAGTCTGTGGAAGCAGATGCTGGAAAACCCATTATACTGTGTTAAATTGTGTCCTCTCAAAAGACATGTCCAACTTCCAACTCTAGTACTTATGAATGTGACCCTGTTTGGAATTAGAATCTTTGCAGATGTGAAGTTAAGGATCTCAAGATGCCATTATTAGGATTGTAGGGCAAATCCTAAATCTAAAATTTGTGTCATTGTAAGAGAAAAGAGAAGGAGATTTGAGACAGAGAAACACAGAGAAGTAAACAATGGGAAGATGGAAGGAGAGAGTGAAGTAATACGTTTACAAAAAGAAGAATATCAGTAACCACCAGAAGCTGAGAGCGAGGCAGGGAACAGATTCTCCTCCACAGTCTCCGGAGAAACCAACCCCGATGACTTGATTTTGAATTTCTGGCCTCTACAACTAGAACAGGTTGCATTTTGGTTGTTTTACACCTCCTTGTTTGTGCTAATATGTTATGGCAACTTCAGGAAATGAATACAGCCACCCACACAAACACGCACAGTAAGTAGAGACCCAGTGCTAAGAGAAGGACCTGAGTAGGCTTAGAATATGGAAACACCACCCACATATACTTAATGAGCTCATCAGCATTAAATCACATAAAAGTTAAATTCCTCAGTTGCACTAGCCACTATTTAAAATCTCAGTAGACACCTCTAGCACACAGTTACCAAATGGAACAGCTCAGACAGAGAACATTTCCATCACTGCAGATAGTCCTACCAGGCTGTGCTGCTCTCGATGATAATTACTTTAAGAGCTACAAATCAAAGTTCCATCTTTATGGGCAAGCAGCATTCGTAGGGACCATTGGCTTCAAATCTATCCTTTTGCTCACACCTGCACCAGAAGATAACAGTTATCCCTGGCAGTGTCACTTTTGATTATGAAGGAACAAAAGCAGCAAGGTGTAAATATATTGCATCCACCTGTCTCAGAGTTCCTTGCACACACCATCTTCCAAAACAACAAACCTATCAGATGATAGTATTGATAGGCTATTTTCTCTCAAGCCAACATTCCCAAATCACGAGGACAGAAACTATCAACCCTGTTGCTCTTATCTATAAATACTATGTGAGTCATACCCAGGTGAACATATTTTTTCAGTTCTCCTTCCTATATATTTCTAGCTCCTCTTAAAATTTTAAGAGGATGTTTCCCCCTTGTAGCGATTTAACCTCTGGAGGGCTCTATAGTTATTGAGATCAGCAGGAGCGCTTTGATGGCTCGGAAAATGAAGGAAATAATTTTAAGAGGGGGTTGATAGGATATGAAGTTGATATTCCCCAAAAGGTGAATCTGGCAATGATGTTACAATGATTTGAAAGGATAAAGATGGGTGGTAGGGTGGTCTTGATGAAAATGGGAAAGAAATTATGTTCTCAGTTACAAAAGCTGCCGGCACTGAGATCCACCTGTTCAGAGCTATCTTTAGCTGCTTTGGGGAACAGTTTTTCTATATAACCTTTCTCTCCCTCACTCCTCTTCCCCTCAGGTACAGAGGAGGAAGAATTTGCAGCATGAATATGAGAAACAGCATTATAGGGTTGTGTGTATGAGTGTGTGTTTGTGAACAGAGACAGACAGAGAATATTGGTATATAAGTGTGGCAATGCACTTTTAATCTACAAATAGTATAAACAGAATGGTGTTCATACTCGCAAGCTGACCACCCTTGGTACCTGAATAGCTCTCTTCGAGTGACTAGTTGTCCTCTGAGGATGTCACAGACCATTGTGCTGCCATTTTTTGTCCTTAGTCTTTAGCTATCTGGAATGCGGTACATCCCCTCCTCCCTGTGGTGACGTCCTGCTCATTTGAAGGCCAGCACATATGTAACTCTCTGGGGACCACTTTTCCCAGCATTCTCCTCTCCTTTCAGAGGTTGCTACCTCTGTTGAGTTTCTCTCACTCTTGTCAGATGTGTTCACCCACCACGCAGAATCTGGGTTAGTTGCATTGCTATTATTTTCTTCAGACTTTGTCAGCAGAATGGAGCCCAGCTTGGCCGTGAGTGGATGCTGGGGAATGGACGCTGCTGATTGGAAGTGTGAGGTGGCTGGGGCTGAGGTGGGAAACTGATGCTTATGGGGAAATCGCTCAGTCACATTTTCTCATTATGTGACACATGCTGCTAGGACCAGTTTCCACTGAACAAACTTCACTGGCCTATACCTTAGAAGTGGTGTGTCATATTCCCCCCAAATTAATCACCGCAAGGACCAGCCCTCTTTCTTCTCCTCACCCCTCAGCATGCATTCACTCTATTCATCCTGTCTCCCTTGTTCCTGTTGCTCCCATCTTAGTAAATGGTACTTCCTTCTACTCAATGGTTCAAGCTAGAAACTTGGCCCTCATCTTTCACTTTGTTCATTTCTTCTGACATTTCCTCTTCTCGTATCCAGTTCATTAGGATAAACTGAAAACTACATCCCTGAATTACCTTTCTCTCTATCTCACTTTCTTTACCACCATTGCCCTGCCTCACCTACGAGTCTTTCTTGGTTGAATTATAGCAACGGCCTCTGACTTGGTCTCCCTGCATCTGCTCTCTGTAGAATGTCCAGACTGACAGTTTAGAACTAGAAGTTGGTGATTTTCATTCCTCTGGTGCCTTTTCACTGCCTGTGGAATGAAACTGAAATTCCTCAACATGGCTTTTGAGGCCCCGTGCAGTGCTCCTTTCCCACTCAGGCTCCAGGCTCCCTCATCCGGAGCTTCATTCTTCGCACAGATTTATCTCATTTAATGATTGCCCCCTCTGCTCTTGGAGGGTTTGCTCTTTCTCAAATGTAGAGTTTACTTTTTAATGTGCCTCACTGAGCAAGGCCTTCCATGATGTCTGCTAAGTATGGTTCTTTTCCCAGGACTTATTTTGTGTCTTCTGTAGGGCTCACGTTGGTCATGGGTTCAGTGGTTGGTGTGCTTGTTTGAATCCTGACTCTTTTTCCAGTGGACCTCAAGCTCCACAAAGGCAGAGACCATGGCTACCCATGTTTGTTCAGTTGCCAACACGAGTCTTGGGGCAACATACATGCTCTACCTATTAAATAGATGGATAAATGAGTAAATATTTGGACTCCTTTTCCAACCGTTAGCTATCATAATCTGGCTTGTGCTTTGAGTCTCC